TTTAGGCAAAGTCTCACTGTGCAGTTCAGGCTGATGTTGTAGCCTGGGCTGGCCTTGACTCACAGTGATCCTTCAGTCTCAGCCTCCTCAGTGTTGGAATCATAAGTGTGTACCACCATACTTGGTCCTTTGCAAGTCTCAACATGGTAACTATTTAAGCACCCCTACTACTTGGAAAAGCAAGCATTCCTATATTTTTTCATCCTGTGTAACTTTTCATTGCAGAACAAAGACAAGAATGATATGTAAAAAAATTTTTTTTGGTCTTTTTGAGATAGAGTTTCACTATGCAGTTCAGGCTGGTATCAAACTTGCAACAATCCTCCTGCCTCAGCCTCCTGAGTGCTGGGATTACAGGTGTGAGTTGCCATGCCTGGCAAATTTTTGTTTTTAATATTTGAAGTAAGCAATTTTTTTCCTCTTCTTTACACTTTCTTTGATTAGTTGCACAGAAATATAATTTACTTATATTAATACAGGGTTTTAAAAAAATTTTGAGATGGCACTAGTTTGGGTGGCCTTGAACTCTCTCCAGCCTCCTCAGTGCTGAGATTGCAGGTGTGTGCCACATATAGTTAATACTTACAACCTGACAAATGTCTGTAGTCGTATAACACCTCTACATCCATGGTCTGGAACATTTCTGTCACCTCTGAAAGTTCACTTGTGTAACTCTGGACTAACTTCCCATTGACTCTCTGATCTCTGGCCAAGTCTGGTCTGACTTCTACCACTGCATTTTTGCCTTTTCTAAAATTTCATATAAATGGACTCATAGATTATATGGTTCCTCTTTCTCTTCCCTCTCTCTTCTTCTTCCTTCTCATTCTCCTTCTTCTATGGTTTGGGGACTAACCCCAGGATTCTGCTCATGCCAGGAAAGTGGACCTCTATTGAGCTGCACCCTCAGCCATATTTTCTTAATGGAGTCTTTTTTTTTTTTTTTTTTTGGTTACAGGGATCCAAACTCAGGACCCCAAGCTTGCCAGGTAGGTGCTGAGCCATAAATTTTGCTGAAATTCAATTCACCCTTTTTACATTTTGCATTTCATGTGCCTATGACCTATTTAGTTAATCTTTGCTTAAACCAAATGCATTCAGGTTTTCCTGTTATATTTTATTCTAGAAATTTTATAGTTTTAGCTCTTTCATTTGGTCTACAATCTACTTCAGTGAAGATTTTCAATCTCATATTAAAATGCTTTTTAAAAGACAGTTTGAAACCCACATTGCTGCACAAATTTGAATATAGACACAATTTTTCTCCTCCTCCACTCCAGTTAAGTTGAAGCAGATGTAAATAGAATTGCTATGTATTATTTTATCTGGTTCTGGAATATTTATTTCTAGTATTATTAATATCGGCTAATTTTATTCTGCAAGTAGTTATATCTTAACTTTCTATTTACTTCTTTGGTTTCTGATAGGGATGTATTAAAATATTCCATTAAGTGACATTTTTTGTTTGCTTTTTGAGACAGGGTCTTACTATGTAGCCTAGGTTGGCCTTGAACCCACAAAGATCTTCCTGCCTCAGCCTTCCAACACGGGGATTATAGGCATGTGTCACCATGCCTGGCATGGACCTTTGATGCATCAATTTTTTAAAAATATTTTTGAGACATGGTTTCAGTATACATTTCAGGCTGGTCTTGAACTCATTTTGTAGCCCAGGCCTCAAACTCGCAGCGATCCTCTTACCTCAGACATCAATTTTTTTTTTTGTAAATTTTTGCTTTTTATATTGAGAGGCTTGATGTTTATAGCTAAAAAGACATGATAAATATATTTTATTGAGGAAGTATTCCATAGTTATAATTAAATGTACCTCTTCACTTTTTTTTAAACCTTTATTTTAAACAACTTAATATTGTTACTGAGTCATGGTTTTCTTTAGGCTATTGTTTTATTTTTTGAAATAATCTCTTGCTGTACAGTTCAGGCTGGATTGAACTTACTGTGTAGCCCAGGATGGCCTCAAAATCCACAGTGATGCTCCTGCCTTAGCCTCCTCAGACCTGGGATCACAGGCGTGCAGCACCACACCAGGCACAGATATTTTATTTATTTATTTATTTATATTTTTAAATTTTTTTTGTCTTTTTCCTTTTTATCGGTACCGGGGATCGAACTCACGACTGCCTGCTTTCAAGGCAGGCGCTTATGCCGCTGAGCTAAAACCCCCAGCCCCAGATATTTTATTTTTTGACTTGAAAAAAATTGTTATTTTGTTAAGCCATAGGTAATCAACTTCACCAAGTTCATTTTCATTGTTTCTTATATTTCACAACTTTATGCTTTTTCAAAAAACTAGCATAATTGTGGTTTAGGTGTGTGAGCTATGATCATCTTTTGAATGACATTTAGGTGCATTTAAATTCTGTATTGAGATTAGTGCTTTAAGGATATATATGACTCCTTATCTTCTGTAGGTCATAGCATCAATGTAATGGTTCCTGTTAGTGTTATGTTAAAATGAAGTGTGATGGCAGTAGAAAATATTAGAGCATATACTATTTAGTTCTGTGAAATTTTATGTCAGTATGTACAAGTATATATGCTATTATGTATATATTCCATAGTGTCTTGGTTACTTTTCTCTCATTGCTGGGACAAATTACCCAACACTCAAAATGAAGGAAGGAAAGGTTTATTTAGCCTCCTGTGGAGGTTTCAGTCTATAATCCTCTGGCTCCAAGGCAGGGTGGCATGTCATAGAAATGACACTTCAAGGTGGCAGTAGACAGCAAAAGCAACCAGAGCAAAAGTGAGCAAGAGCTAGCCTCTTTTCCTCCCTTACATTGTACACAGGCCACTCCTTCTCTCCAGGGTGGATGTAGCATTTAGAAAATCTGTGACCTCTCCTCTTGCACAAAATGAGTATATTTACAAAGTAAGGATCCTGGTTCTCAGGTTGACCCAATGTATCAACCATAACACATAATTAAAATAGGCCCATGTAGAGATCAAGATCAATAATACATGAAATGGTAATAATTTGTATTACATTATGTTTTGGTTAATGATAAGTATTAAGGTAAGATCCTTATGCTTTTTCCAGGGATCATGCAAAGTAATCCATTTATCAATTTATGAAGTATAAAACCCTTGATGGAGAATCTAGCAACTAGCAGACGTTATGTCTTTTATGTAGAAGATGTAAATTTTTTTTACAGTGGTTGAACATTTTATAGACCCTCATAAAGGCAATAGTGTAGAAATATCTATCCATTCAGCCTTTAAAATTGGTTGAGCAATGTTATTATTCCTATAGTTGTGATTCTAAATGGATTCATGGACAGAAATGAAACTGGGTTTTTTATATTGTTAAACAGGTTCTCGCCATGTGGTCCATGCTGGTCTTACAATTGTGTGCAGCTCATACTGGCTTTAGACTCTTCATGTTATTGCTTCCAGAGTGCTGAAATTACAGAGGGGCACCATTATGCCCTGCTGAACAATTTTAAAAATGATATTTAAATTAGTTGGACAATACTTTCCATGGCCCATTATATCAAAATAATTTAATATCCTGTGAAAGGGAAAGCTTGAAGGGCCTTTTGAGACTTTTCTGAAGCAGGTGATAATATAAAACAAAAACAATTAGGAAAAAAATATGTGCATATAAGATGTGCATGACTTTAAAAGTACACAAAGATAGGTGCAAAGGAAAGTCTAAGATTAAGTAAAGACAGGAAAATACTAAAGGTTATGTGTATTTATTTATTTATTTGCAGTATTGGGAAATGAACCCAGGGCCTTTGCACTGAGCTACATTCCTATTCCTTCTTTTCTTATTCTTATATTGAGATAGGGTCTTACTAAGATGCTACATTGCCCAAACTATGTTCGAAATTATCTTGTCTCAGTCTCTAACATGGGCCAGCAAGACTGGTTGTGCATTCACTTTTTTCCCCCCAAAATCTATTTTATTTCAATGATAAAAATTTAAAAAACAGAAGGGAAAAAACCCTACAACAAAATTTCAAAACTTGTTAATCAAGGGCCGCAATGGTACATACATTGAGCATTGTATCACCAAATCATTCACCCAGAGTACAAAGGACATCTGCATTCAATTGTCTGAACCATACCAGCACAAATCTTTCTCATCAGTAAACTTGGGAGAAATCAGTAGTATAACTATCTTACCTATTGTTTTTATATACATATGCATACTCATATACATGTTTTTTCTTTGTTTCTCACACTAATGAAACAATACAATGTTTATGCATGTGTGTCTTATTTACTTCACTAATGAATATGTTCTCAAGATGCATTCATTTACCTATAAATGTGTCCAGTTTATCCTTCTTTATGGCAGAGTAGCACTCCATCGTATAAAAATACCACATCTTTTTTTTATTCATTCCTTAAATTGATGGGCATTTAGGTTGTTTCCAAGATCTGGCTATTACAAACTGGGTGCACACACTTTAAAGTCTTTAAGGGTATGGAATCTCTTCCCTCGACTTGTACCCTCAATGTCTAGCACATTGCTTGATATACAGCTGGCAACTGAGAAATGTTTCTTAAATTCTAAATGAACTGATGAGGGTAGAAGTTTAGAAAGTAAAACCCGAGTTACATTATCTCTCAGAATATAGAGGAAGTAACGATTTGGAGTTTCTATTTCTAATTCTTATCGGAATGAGTATCTGATTTACAATTTACAATAGTCACTTTACATTTTACAAATTGACTAAGTTTCACAGTCTTTTTGAAGGCTACCATTTTCTAAAATCAACTCGTGTCGCCCTCTTCCGGAGCTGCCAGAACACGCGGGTTTTGAAATCTGCACAAGCTGCTTCTGGGCTCTCTAGGCTTCTCCCATTTATGTTTTGGAGGCTCCCTGGGCGCATGCGCTTTCTATGGCTGCCCACCAACCAGAGACTACAATTCCCGGAAGGCCATGCCTCAGGGAAGAAATGAAATCTCGCGCAAGAATGCGGTCCGGCAGCCGTGCGAAGTGGGTGGAACGGGGCGGAGACAGCGAGGAGGAAGAGGAGGAGGTGCCGTCCCACAATACCAGGCGGGAGGGCGGTAGGCGGTGTGTATCCCGGCTGCGAGGTGCTCTGAGCGGTCGCGGACCGTGCTGCCTCTGTCTCTTTAACGCGAGAGGAAGCGATGCAGAGGAGTGGAAAATGGCAGAGCTGCAGATGTTACTAGAGGAGGAGATTCCGTCTGGCAAGAGGGCGCTGATAGAGAGTTACCAGAACCTGACCCGGGTGGCGGACTACTGTGAAAACAACTACATACAGGTGAGGAGCGCGGGCCGGGCCGGGGACCCGCAGGGCGCTGCGGGGCGCCCCCTACCTCAGCCGCCGCCGCCTCTCCTCTCCTCACCTCACCTCACCTAACCGAAGCCGCAGCCACAGCCGCAGCCGCAGCCGCAGCCGCAGCCGGACGGCGGGCAAGGCGGGTGGCTGGGCTGCGACGCAGGAAGTGGCCGCGGTGGGGGAGCTGGCCGGAGCGGAGGGAAACCTGGGCGAGGGAGCGGCCGGAGTCGCCGCGGTCCCGCTCTGCGGCCGGCGCCCTCGGATCCCTGACCACCGGCCCTGGCCCGGCCGCCCGCCTCCTGTCGCCCGCCGCCCGCCGCGCTGCTCCTGAGACGCGGGACTCGAGCGGGGCGCGGGGAAGGTGGCGCCGGCCGGGCGGCGGCGGAACCCAGGGAGAAATGGGGTGCGCGTCGCGCAGGGCGGGGTGGGTGCGATTATGTCAGTTCGGCCCAGAGGGTGTGTCTGTCCGTCTGTGTTTAATTATTTATTTATTTTAAAAATTTTGTCATGAGTCATATTACACAGACCTCCCTGAGGAGAGAAGGAAGCGGGCGTGGGGAGGGCGTTGGAGAGAAGTGAATCGAAAAATTCCTTTGAGGGTTTGTAAATCTGCCTGCTCGTCCATTTTCAAGTAGGGGTTTACCGCCCCCCCCCCATTTTCACTTCCGCCTCACGATCCTATAGTCTCATTATTATAAACACAAATTATTGTTAGCTGCGTGGAAGAATGTCTGCAATCCTCTGTCTTCCTCCACAAGTTCTTACTGTTGGTTTCCTGAGTAACAAAATAGAATGGTGTCCTTGCTGGGTTCCTATTTTCTGAGGTTTCCCTCTTAAGTAAAATGTATAGGAGAGGAATCTAGATAGTTAACAAACATTTGTTTAGCTTTTCAACGTGCTATACCAAGTTTTGTTACCATATTAGAAGATTCTTGGAACTTTATGGCAGTTACAGGTTGTTTGATTTTAGTTTTGATGGTTGGAAATGGTGATTTGATTTGTAGATCTTTAGTTCTGTAAACTCAACAGTTTGTAGCAGAAACGAAGAGAGTACAACAGCAGTTTGTGTCAATATAATGACATAAAAATTTAACTTGTGATTGGTAAAGCAAGACCAAAATGTGCTTTGGAAGATTAGGGTTATTGCAGTTCAGTACCGGAAGTATTTATAAAAGAAGTGCCCCTGTGTGATTATCAACGTTAAGAACGAATGGTTTCTATGTTGTCGAAAGATTTTTCTCTTTATTTTTAGAGGAAGATAATGTTTTCAGAACATTTATAATATTTTGCAGTTTCCATGTTAGTAACATTGTGTTGTCACTTGCACTAGGAATTTGTTTTTTTTCAAGCTTTTTACTTTAGGGATTCTGCTAAGTAAACTTGTTGAATGCCTGCCTTGTCTACTGTATTACTTGGTTTTTGCAAGCTTTATATTTCTCTTTTAAAAACTTTTGAAATCTTGTATAATTTGGACAATTGTTCGAATGTGGAAACTTCGCAAATGTAAAAGTGATCGTGTAGGTTATCGGTATTAAAAATACGAAAACTTTGGTTCAGCTTTACAAGAAAAGTCTTGCAATGGAAGTGAACTTATTTTGCTCAAAAATTTAAAAGGAAGAACCCAAGAAGTTAAATTGTCCCCACTGTAGAAAAGTTCTGTCTTCTCTGTAGATTGCCGCTTGAAGGGTGGCTCATTTTTGTTTTGCATGTTGGGTAATCTTACAAGTATGTGGTGTGGTAACTGCTGTGTGTTGGCAGATGTTGGTAACTAACCTGTTTTAACCTGTCTGTTGACTATTACTTCTTTAGCTAGTTGTGTGCTGAATACTTTTTTTTTTTTTACCCCTTCACTCCTTTCTTTTCCTTATCCTGCCACTATAGTGTAACTTTGAAGCAATTTAAAACTTGCTGATGATATCCCTGATTAAGGTAAGTTGTGTTAGACAATGATGTCAAGGACCACTGTTCCTGCCCTCAAGTTTGCTTGCTTTCTTTGTTTTTTTCTTTCTTTTTTGGTGGTCCTAAACCTGAGTGAGGTATTCTGATCTTAGTGAAAAAGATGAAATTTGTACGTAATTGTGCTTATTTATCTTAATAGTCTTTTAAACTTTGGGCTGCGTGATTGACCCATGCCACTTGTTGCCTTTTTGCAGGGCTTAGACAAGGAGTCAGAATCAGAAGACTAGTGGATGTTCATGTGTTGGGGGGTGGCGCTGCTGACGTAGGTGCTGTGATTGAAGTACAAGTGCTGCTGGAAATGCCCTTGTGTATCTGTTGAGGTCTTTTTGCATGCTATCTGTACTTTGTTTGAGCTGTGAATAATATCTGGCATAAATTTATACCTCCTCTTATGTAAAGTTTTTTTTTGGGGGGGGGAGTTTTTTTTTTTTTTTAAGTGTTGCTGAGCTAAACTCCTGTCCCCTCTTTATGTGAAGTTTATAGTCACTTGTGTGTGGAGAATATTTTTTGTACCTATGTTGAGTGGTTATTGGTTGAGTTATTGCTTGAGTGTTTTTTTTTTTAAATTTCATGAGTTCAATTTCTTGTTTCTTAGATTTTGAAAATGCAGTTATGTTTTATTGAGATGTTCTTTTTTGGCCATAATACAATTGAGTCCATGTAGCAGTGTATTAGCTCTTTTGAATCTCGCAGACTTTATTAAATTGTTTTAGTAATGGCCAAAGTTCTTAAAAGATTCCACTTACAGTGAGTGCCCCCTCTGTATTGAGACTTGAACTCAGGGCCTCTGCACTGACCATACTGAGTCCTTAAAAATTTTTATGAAATGTTTTTGAAATAGGATTTCAATAAGGAACTCAGTTGCCCAGGCTTGCTCAAACTTGCTGTCCTTCTGCCTCAGCCTTGAAGATTGCAGAGTATGTGTGCTGTTGTGCTTTGTTGGACAGGTATTTATTTATTTATTTATTTAGTAAGACAGGGTTGGCTGTGCAGTTCAGGCTGGCCTAGCTCTCACTTTGTAGCACATGGCTGGTCTCGAACTTGGAATTATCCTCCTGCCTCAGCCTTCTGAGAGCTATGATTATAGGCAGGCCCCATCATGCTTGGCCAGACAGAGTTTTATGGGGGGAAAGTTATAAATAATTCTAAAAATAGTCTTTTTTTTTTTTTTTCTCTAAAGAAACTATAGAAATGCCTTTGCTGTTTCTATCTTCTATTTGTTTTGACATAACTGAATTTTTCTGGTGGATTATGACCAGAACAGTCGCTCTTTTTTTATTACCAGGGATCAAACTCATGACCTCATGCTTGCCAGGCAAGTGCTTGTGCTGCTGAGCTATACTTCTGGCTAGTCACTCCTTAACTTGAACACACTTTGTCAGTTTTCTTTGTTCTGCTTTATAGTTCTTACTGCCTTTCCTATGAGAACTATTTTGGGAAGTAGGAAGGAAAGAAAGCTGAGTGGAGTAGAAACTGCTTAAGAAGATGAGTGTGGTGTCTCATGCCTACAGTTTTACCACTCAGGAGACTGAGGCAGGATTATCACTTGTTTGAGGTCAGCCTGGGCTGCACAGTGAGACCGTTCTTAAAAAAATGCTTAAGAATGGTTTCTTAGGATCTGGACTGTTAGGTTGGGTAAGGAAAAAAGTCTTCTATACAGTTTAACTTTTAAATTATCTGGCTGGAATTCTGTCAGCAACTTCATTTGAGGTGGGATATAGGTCAGTGGCACAGGGTTTGATTTCTGGTACCAAAAAAAAAAAAAAAAACAAAACCCAAAAAACTAAAAGAAACAACTATAGAGACTTATTAAAAATAATGTTGAAGAACTTCATTTGGATTAGGAAGTGTGTTCTAATCCAGTGGTTGTAAACCATAGACCACATGGTGTAATTGGTTGTTGTCACTGAAAGTTCTAAATAAGGTTTGCCATCATTGTTAGTGGCAGTAGATGTGTATTACTGAGAATTAGGTGGTTTAACTTGCTTTACTCAATGCCATGACAGTTGCTTTTTAATCTTGGAAAGCAGGTAATTTTTGAGCAGGAACACTTTGGATTTAGTAAAAACTAATCTTTCTGGTATTATACAGTTTATATCAGTTTATAAACTGTGTCACTTAGTTACTGTAAGTCTACTTCTTGCCCACCAGTTTTTTTGTTTTGTATAATCAGTGTTGCTCAGGCTGGCCTTAGACTTCTGAGCTTAAAGAAACCTCCTTTCTCAGCATCCCCAGCTGCAGATGATGGAACTATAGGTGTGGGTGTGCCGCTGCACGGTGTTCTCTCTCAGTGTCCTTTACACACACACACACACACACTCACTCTCTCTTTACTCTTTTTTTTTTTTTTTTTGTCCTGGTATTGGTTGAGTAATCTGTGTTCAGAGACATTAAATATTGAACCTGAAGTTCACTAGCTTATATAGAGAGTGCCTAGAATCAAACCTAGATTTTCAGGTTCCAAACCCTAAATTCCTTTTACTAAATCTTGAATGGGCCACTTACTACAATATAGAGGTTAAAAAGAATTTGTGAGGCTGGGGATTTAGCTCAGCAGCATAAATGCCTGCCTGGCAAGCATGAGGTCCTGAGTTTGATGCCTGGTACCAAAGCAAAAGAAACAAACAAACAAAACAACAAAAAACGAATTTATGAAGAGGATAACAGACCTCAGTGACCATAGGGGATTGGTTGTGGCATTGCAAAGGTACCAAAATTCCTAAGTGCTTAAGTCTCTATATGAAATAAAATTACATATATCCTCCTGTATACTTCAAATCATTTTTAGATTATTTATAAATACATTGTAAATGCTATATGTTTTGATATACTATACTGTGCTGAATAAGGACAAGGAAAAAAGTATGTGTTCAGTACAGATACAATTTTTTTCTTTGAATATTTTGAATCAGTGGTTGATTGAATCCACAATTGCTGAGCCTGCAGATGAGGAGGGCTGACTATAATTAATTATTTTTATTGAATACCTACTGTCAGTCTCCTAGTTGAGTTGTGTTATATTT